ACTAAATGAAATCTTGTCAAAGCGACACAGGAGCCATATTGAAGGAACTTCCACTGGATAAAGTTAAGATAATGTGGGCCGGGAATGGTAGCTCATGCTCATAATCCCAGCATGTTTGGAGGCTGAAGTGGGAGGATTACTTGAGTTTGAGATCCTGCCTTTCCATTAGGAACTATATTTCAGACTAACCAACTCACCCTAACTGATAAGGGAAAGTTCTCCCTTATTGAAAATTCTTAGCTAATGAAGGAATACTAGAACTTGGAAATGATCATTTCATTGGAGTTCAAATGAAATAATTGATTCAGGCAACAAATATCAATGAATGCTAAAGCCATTAGGGAAAACGTTATAAAACTGAATATTCATTCACAGGATGCCAAAACGTCATCCCACAGGTTAATCTGCTGGTCATGAGAGGAAAAAATGCAAACCTGAAAATAGAGAGATCAGGTTGCCACTCCCTGAACCGTGCTGATACGCTGTAACACGAAGTATGTAGCGTCATCTGCATCGTATTCAGACCAAAGATGTGTGACCTAAATCTTACCAAGTCATTGTCTAACTCCCAGTTCTCAGGAAAGGAAGGAGACAAAGGAGCAAGTTACGTGACTCCTCGAGGAAGTAATGAGAAAAGGAGATGGAACATTCTACAAGGCAATTAGTCTGGTTTCTTCAATAAATTATAAAAAATGGGGGGCAGGGAGGAATTTTCCATTGAAAGACTTATAAGACATAACAACCATTGCAATGTGTGGCTCTTGTTTTTGTTTAAGGGTTAAGCTGAGGGTAAAGGCATATTTTTAGGATAAGTAGAGAAATTTAAATATGGACTGGGTATTAGATGCTATTCAGAGATTACTAATTTTGGTATATGCAATAACAGTATTGTGATTATGTAAGAAAGTGTCTTTATATAAAAAATTCCCTTTTTTTAAATTTTAGAGATGCATACTGAACTACTTCAGGGTAAAATATCATAGTGTCTATAATTTTCTTTTATAATAGTTCAGGTAAATATGTAAATCAAACATGGCAAAAATATTAATAATTGTGAAATCTAAGTGGTGAATATACGGAGATTCATTAAACTATTCTCTCTACTTTCTTGTAAGTTTAATTTTCTTCATCATAAAAAAGATTTTAAGAAAGACTTCGGGCCGGGCGCGGTGGCTCGTGCCTGTAATCCTAGCTCTCTGGGAGGCCGAGGCGGGCAGATTGTTTGAGCTCAGGAGTTCGAAACCAGCCTGAGCA